AGCGAGAGAGAACCAACCAGAGACCGATATTAAATCCACACAGGAGTTTATTACCGGCCGGGACCCGAGCCGAGCATCGGACTCGAGCCTCGACTGGGGATTGACAAACATGTTTTACACACCTTTGAGGCCAACAGTTTCTAGGGCCCCCTATGGGATAGAACTAGTAAAGCAAGCAAAAAGTACAGAAGCAGAACGTCCTGCTGTTAGAACATTTGTAAAACAATAGTTGATTAATTGTTATTTCTAAAGAGACTTTCTAAGGGGAGGGGGTTTTTAAGCTTCCTCCTTCTGGGTTCATCTAAAGGGCAGGCAGGTGGGTCAAGCAGCAATATGGAGTCTGTCTTGCTAACTAGGGTCCTTCAGAGAAAACTAAGTCCTTTGTCTCTTGGAGCTAGTACTTTAGAGAAAGGGAGATATAGATAACAAATTAATAGAAGTACATATAAAATATCATTTGATAATGAAATAATATAAAAAAGAAGAGAAAGGAAAAAATATGAGAAAAAGGAAAAAATGGAAACAAAGTCTTTGTAAATAGGGAGGGGTAGAGGGGTTGAAGGGAGGGCAGGGGAATAGGGAAAAAATAAAAACGGAGATATATCATGTAAAGGTACAAATTCCCAATGATGACAATAACTGTATTGTAAATCTAATATGTACCAATAAACTTAATGGAAAAAAAATAAAGTTTCATGTCAAATAAAAAAAATTGAATCAGTATAAGAATGAAGAGGAAGGCATTATTTTCTAGGATAGTATTATTTTGATTTTTACATTCTTATAGAGAAGTGTCTCAAGTGGAACATTTGCAGCTTTATGGAGCTTCTTTGATTTTTTGACTCTTAACAAGAATTGCCCAGAATCTCCAAACTCTAAACAGAATTTTAGTTACTGATGCCTACATAACACCTGTATTTCAATTAATTTTAATATCAAGGCTAAAATGAAGGCGAGCAGCAGGAATTCCCAAGTGAAGCAGATAAAACGTGAATATTCAAAAAAAAGAAAAAAACTTGGCTTTTTGCCTCTTTTGGTAGTGATTCTAAACCACTTTTATTTATGCTGGTGTTAGGGCCCACTGCCTAGCAAAGCAATGAGCCCCACTCACAGCTGCTGAATCGGAAGTCTTAATTCATAAGCCCCCTAGGCGATACTAATGAATGCAGAGAGTATCTTTGGGAGCAGGAGCACTGGTATGATGTTTGGATTGTCACAACAGTGGCTGATTCTGACACTTTTGTATCTTCCAATTACATAGCTATATTAACTGTGCCAGTATTAAAAATTATACCTTTGAAATAATCTTTCCAAATTCAATCAGTTCAGATATCAGAAGAACTTCTCAGAACAGATTAAACTGTTACATTTTAAAAAAGCAAAACATGCAAAATATCAGCCTCAGAAATATATGAAGGTAAAGTTTTGGTTGAGGTTAGAATGGTGGAGGCAGAACTTGAACCTTATTAGCCTCTCTATGGCCCTATGTCCTGTCCCTTCTAGGTCACTGCTGCAGCCCCTACTTTTGTGGTTGCAGGATATACTTTAAAAAGCATTGACCCTTAGCAAGAATTTGAACCTTAATTATATATTTATCTGGACTTGTACCTTCTCAGTTTCACTTTGTGTTGTTTTATTATTGCTTTTGCTCACTTTTTTACATGCTTGTGTTCTGAGCTCCTTCCTGAAGGAGACAGAAGGAAAAAAATCATGAAGCATTGAATGCCTAATGCAGTATAAGGAGTGCACATAGAGCAGACATATTATCCAAACTACTATACGCAGCAAGGCAACCAGGAAACTAAGGACAGGGTTCTGGTCACAATATGTTTGCTGTACTTTACATGGCTTATCAACCATAGGAAAGAAGGAACAGAACTGGCATAAAGAAGACAGCTCAGCAAGGTGACAGTGAACCTCAGCTGCTATGCAAGTGACTCTCCACCTTTCTTGTTTAAGTAAATTAGGATCTTCATTTTTCTCCTCGTATTTACGAATATTTTCTCTACTAGAGTAACTATCCTAAATAATAAATTGGATTTCCCAATTTTACTCAATTAGGTAGAGATCATGCATTTTCAATGGGTACAAAAACTAGTTCTTATGTAACTGGTAACAACATCCTTCTCTCACCAGAACACACCTACATAAAGCACATAAAAGCATAGCTAGTATAGCCATGGTACTAGAATTTCGGGGGGCCCATTAGGGAAAGAGTCTAAAAAGGCCTCTTAGAGAAAAAAGGCTGGACAATAAAAGGTAATGATGCACTCATATAAGTGAGGTCCAGAACTTTTGATAGGTAGGCACTTACCAGTATTATCACACCGAGTTGGAATTTTAGTCAAAAGCAAATAAAGGCCCCACTTAGTTAGTAGGAAAATGTAATGTTCACTCATCAGGGAGCTCTTTGTTTGCCAGTAGTGTCACAGTATGGATTAAAGGAAGACTTTTGGAAGGCTACTGTAATAGTCTAAGTAAGGGAAGTGGATACTTAACCAGAATATTCAAATTTTAGACATTTTAAAATACATTGTTGTGAAAAATTGAGAACAGTTCAAGACCCCCATAATAAAAAATCCCAAAGTTCTAGGTTTTATTCTTGGGTATCTTTGCCTATATACGTGTTGGGGAAAAAATCTTCCTGGCATGGTAATTCTTTACACTGGCAGAAAAAAATTAATCAATCAATCTCACATATTCCTTTATAGGAAAATTTTGTTTGTAGCTAGACTGAAGTTCTTTTTGGGCAAGGAGTGGCTCTTATTCAAAGACAAGTTTCCATCTATATTTTACTGCACAGCTGTTCTTTATCTTTGAAACTGTCAACAATATTTTCACAATCAAAAATGGTCTAGGTTGATATAACCTGCTATATTATGTAACTTCTAAAGTGCATTTGCATTTGCAGAAAGTACATAATGCACATTAATGAGTCTTCCCATGCAATTTTTAGCTCACTCCTGGCATCGATCGACTGTTATGCTTAGTGCAGCGAAACTTTGTTCCAGATAAAACCCGACTTTGGCCCTGGACTCTGTTTTTCCAATGATTATTGTCTTAGTTACTTTTCTTGTTACTGAGACAAAAGACCCAACATCCACAAGATAAGGGAGGAAGGGTTTATTTGGCTCACAATTTGTAGAGGTTTCAGTCCATAGTCGGCTGGCTCCAAAGCAGAGTGATATGGCAGAGGAGCATCACAGAGGAGAAACAGTTCACGACAAGCAGGCAGCGAGAGCACATTAGCCCTCTTTCTATCCCTTATATGTAATGCAGGCTACCTGCTCTAGGGCAGGCATAGCACTCATACCCTTAATCCTAGTCAGAACTATGCCAAACCAATCAGTGGACTGATTTAGTAATCATACACCCTTGATCCCAGCATCACACACTCTAGATCCAGCCACCTTTGAAAAGCCCCTCACTATGACTGCATGAGGCTTTGGAGGACATCTACAGACAAGTCATAACAACTTTTTTTTTTTTTTTGTATGAGGGATTGAACTCAGGACCTTGTGCTTGCAAGGCAGGCGCAGTGCCACTGAACTAAATCCCCGGCCCCATAACAACTATTAATCAATTTTGCAAGCTGCCTCAAATTCTTTTTGGAGATAGGCTGTCATGAATAATTAAGACTAATCCGGGTTGGGGATTTAGCTCAGTGGTTCCACCGCCTGCCTCGCAAGCAAGCTAAGGACCCAAGTTCAATCCCCAGTACCAAAAAAAAGAAGAAGAATCCTTGGTTCATCCAGGAAGTGGAGATATGCAAGCTACTATATGTGCAAGGCAGTATGCCTGCACACACAATGCAGGCTGGCTCAGTGCAGATGGGAAGACTGTTTCTTTTCTGAGGTTACATGGGGCAAGTTGCTTATACCTTATCCTTTTCTGAAGTCTGATAATGATGATAAAAGGATGTGATCCAGTGGCTTAGTATCTAAACAAATACATCCCATGAGATGTGAGCTGTCATTTAACATCAGCAATGACCACTGGTTAGAGTTCACTTAGAAGGGTTTCTTAATGGGCCTGTATGTTTTGTGAAGAATAGGATTTACCGGGAAAAAACTAAAATTTTTAAAACTGAGACTTAAACTGGTTTCCTCATTTCTGGAGCACAGATGAAATATATTGCTCAGGTTTATCCATATAGACATATGTTGAGGAAACATGTGTACTCTACATGATTTTGTGTTTTCAAATATATTTAAAATATTTATGAAGGAAAAATAATCCAGCCTATCTTACACCTCATATGTAGTAAGGAAAAAATTAGCTGGTGAGGCCGAGGTTGGGAAAAGATCACAAAATGTTTAATGATCTATGGATCAGAAGGAGAAGGGGAAAAGCAAACTCACATTAAAAATAGTGCAGCCAGCAAACCATCAGGGAGAGCTGGGCTTCTCCCATTACCACTGGAGCACAGTGGACTGGGGGTTCAGGGACTTAGCCACTCACTGAAAGTTCAACTCACAAAGGCAAGGGCAGCTGAAGACAGAAACTCAGCAAAAGAAGTGAGCAGTCCAGAATTGAGATGAATCTCATACTTGGGGTCTTTGGGTCAGGGTTTGAAGAAAAGAAAAGTAAAAAGGAAGCAGAAGCAGAAGGTATACACCAAGATTCTGGTGTATACCTGTTATGGCAACTAAAAACTGAAAGCGAACATTTTTTGGTCACAAAAACGTTTTAAGTGGAATAGCCCTACAACTGATAACATAGAAACATTTTATCCGTAGATGAAGATTTTAGTTAGATAACAGTCACCAAAATATTTCGCATACAGTCAAGCATTACCTATCAGTTATAATTTAAGCATTTTATATGAATGTGTTAATCCTTGTGGTTCCGATCAGATCTTGTTTTTTTTAAATACTATTTTGAAGAACTAAATTAAAAGGCCTTCTATAAGACAGCATGTGGGAGGTGAAAACCAAAATAATAGAACTCTCATTAAGGGGAAGGGAGTAGAGTCAAGTGCCAATATCCATGTTTTGCAGACTTCTAAGAGCTAAAGGATTTTTTGAAGACTACTACACTATAATTTCCAGGGTCAGGAGAAGTCAGCTGTGGTCTGCACAGACCAAGGCCTGGAGGCAATCTACACTATCTGAACACTTACACGTAAGTTCTCCTTTAGTGTTTAACTCTAAGATGAGCAAGTAGAGTAAAAACAGTTTTAAAATCAGCAAGGCCTTGCATATTTATGTTCATGGGTTGGGTCTTCTTTTTAACTCTTGCTCTTCAGAAAATCTCGGTAACACTTTGTGGTTGTTTATAATCTTGTATGGATAAAGAATGCATTTTTCTAGAGAAAAAGATACTGAATGGGATTTATGGCTAATTTCCCTCAACTGTCTTTTTCAGCAAAACCTTAACCCAAGAATATTCAGGGGAATAATATGCCACTTCTGGAGAAAGCTGCTGCAATTGCAACACTGAATAAGAAGCAGATATATCATTTTTAGCCTGCATATCGTAACATTCCAAGCTGCCTCCTTTCTACCAAGACCTGAACACTAAATTTCTTTCTGAATGAGAGAATGAATGAACCAGTTGGGGGATGATGACAGCACTGTGTCACTGCTGACTTCTAGTTTGGGTGGCTGTCCCATGGTTCTATGAGAGGGTGCATTGTTTTTGAAAAAGTGAATGCTAGTGTGTTTAGCATTAATGGGCACTATGACCACATTGTGCTCAAAAGCTCAACAACCCCCCATATAGCAAAGAGAAAGAGAAAATGATAAACCAAATGCTGTATAATGAGAGCAAATAAGAAAGTCTTTTGTGTTATTTTTGCAACTTTTCTGAAAATATGAAGTTATTCCAAAATGAAAAGTAGAGGAAATAAAGAGGACATACTCAATGTAAAGGGCTTCTGGATGGTCAAATTTTGGCCTATTTAAAATTCAAAAATATAATAACTGTAATTGATTGTAACCTAATGAATAAGAATACATGAGGCCACATGATGCTACAAAGGAAAAGGAAGAAGGGAAGGAAGGAAGAAAGAAGGAAAGAAAAAAGAAAGAAAGAAAGAAAGAGAGAGAGAAAGAAAGATCATCACTATCAGAAGCTATTACCACCTTCAGAAGCCAATATCTATCTCTGAAATTTTTTAACAAAAACATTAATAACTTACTCTGACTTCATTTTTAGTGAAATTATAATCATCACAAATTGCTAAGGGAGAGAAAACTATTCAGGGAAATGACAGCTAATATGTGCTGGAGAAATAATAAAATGAAAATTACCGTTTAACAATCGCAAAAAAATAACAAGTTATTTGATATCCATCACTATATCCTAAAAAAAGTATGTGTATGTGTGTAAATCCATATATAGAAAGACAAAACAAAGATGGTAAAATGGTAAAGAGAGAAACTCTATGGCATGAATGTATTACACCTTTAACTTATTTGTGTGTTTGAAATTTCCCTAATATTTGTGGCATTCCATGTCTGGCTGGAGCGTAACAATCCTAGCCAAGTGACAATCCATCCCATCAGTTGTTTAAAAACCTTTGGATATTTATTATTTTGCTACCCCTTCAAAAATAAAAACATATACAATGGAGGGGATTTTCTACTGGCTGCAGAATTTAAACATTCAATTTCTGAGAGCCAAAATGTATTGTACTGCATGTATGCAGAAAAGTTCATGAATTAAGGAAAAGTGGCACAAGAGGTTCTGGCCTTGAATCCCCTGGATGGTAGGAGTACATGGCACAGAGCAGAGAATATAGTTGATTGATATTTTGAACCCAGAAAATTAAATATCCAGCTGCACTTATAACTTCAGGTGTTTGAGTTGCCATTATTCATATATTAAAGGATGACCAAATTCTTTGCTATTCTTATTAATAAATATTTCAAGAAAAGTCTGAGGAAATGGTTAATGCAAGAACCTTTCTTGAGTTCATGGATAGTCATTCTGGTGTTCTCTTCAGCTGTGAGCTATCTCTGTGGTTCTAAGGGTCAAAGAGAAGGTTCATGAATTCAAGCAAACCTTTAATACAGTCCTCATATTGACCAAACATCTCATACCTTATCTTCAAAGAAATATCCACTCTTACTAAGCTATATAACAAAAAGATTTCTTATAGAAAATAGAATTATTTTTGTGTAAACATGGCAGTAATTTTTAAAGTTTCTATTCTTATTACAAAATATATTTAACATCATCAAAACTGTATCTCAATATCTTAAGCATATCATTTCTAAAGATGAGTTATACTAAACCAAATCTGAGATACAGCTGCACTGTCTTTGTGGCTACACATCCTAGTCTCCTTGGAGACCCCAGGTCTGCTTCAGTGACAGTATTTAAGAAACTGAGATGTGTGGTTTTACCACATATATGCTGATTCTTGCCTTCTCCACCTTCCAGTCTGCTTGGACAGAATGCTATTTTGTGTGATCCAGTTAAGTTGGTTTGTAAATTATCTAGTCATAAACACATCTGCACAAATTAGACAAATGGCATAGATGTCTGTAAAGACAAAACCAATCCTCCTCAAAAAAATGCTGTTTGAAGATAAAATAGCACAAGCACAAGAAGATAAAGGAAAAATTTCTACTCTTCGTAGGTCTTTGACTATATTATATGGTTAAACTGATAATGATCTCAAACTAAAAAACTCTGAGAATGCCAAAAATAAAAGATGATCAAGAATTTTCAGAAGCATGCCAAACACAAAAAATGATCAAAACATTGAAAATATAGTCTTATATGCAATTTCATTAGCAGCAAACCTCAGCCACAGGACTTATGGTGCCTCAGAATATTACTTGATGTTAGAACAAAGCATCACCATCAGCAAGATGTACAGATTAATCATCTGAAATATTAAGGTGTGCCTTTATAATTTCTTTCAGTAAGATTTATTCACAAAATATTTAGTCCTACTTTTTACAACCTTTCAAAAAATTTAATGATGAATTTCTAAGTAAGAGTTCAGTAGTATATGTACAAAATACACTAACAAATAACATTCCCATTTTAGTGACACATGAACAAGAATTCTCTGTTGCCAAAAAAGGGTTGGAGACAACCAACTTTGTGATTCAAAGCTGTTGTAAGTGGTATAGTGAAATATTAATACTAAAATAAATGTGAAAATAACCTCATTTGTCCTGAGCAGTCAATCTTTGCCTAGATATTTCTTTCAAGACATTCACAGCTAAAGAAACTGAAGGCATCAGAATTAGTTCTCAGTGGGGTTAACAGCACTTATTTTGCTAATGTACGAGTAGAGCTATAATGGCATTGAATTGTATGTGGTTCACTGTATGTAGGCAAAATTCCATACTGGAGCTACATAGCCCTGATAACTAATGATAAGGATCCAGTAAGCTAGGAGATGAGTCTCCCTCAGGAAATCGTGAGACCACAACCCAGGAGGGTTAGACTACTACCTGTTTGTGGTTTTCTTCTCTAGCCAAGCTCCTATTCTCCCAGCTGTAGCTCTTGTCTAGCTAGTTGCCTATTCTTCCAAACTCAGAGCAGTTTACCTTAAACTTCCTTCTATTTGAAAAATTCCTGGGGGAAAGGTACATTTATGCATAAATAACTTCACAGCTTCTCAAGTTTGTATAGAAGACAGAGTATAATAATAAAATAATTACAAACTGACTGATGTTAGCTCCATATACAGTATCATGGATAGTAGTTACATGCATTATTGATCTCATTACAAAATGTAAAGAAGTTTTATGTCTCTGACTAAAACAAGCAGGACTCAATGTCTTAACTCACCTAAACCAAATAAGTACATTTGCAGACTTTATGTTTCCCAATAACTGCTATAACCTGAGTTTTCTCTATGAAGATATTTCAAGCGTGTTTTAATTATTCTAAGTTTTTAATAGATCACTAAATCTGCTTTTAATTCCTTGTACTTCAAGCTGCTAAAATTGTGAGAAAAAGTGATAAATGGCACCTGTGGTTACATCCAAGATCAGGAGGGACTCCCGAATTCACAGAGCATATACTGCTTTATTTATAATTTCCTTTCTGGAAAGAGGGGAGGTAAGCATAATGACAACCAGCAGAACTTAATATGGGGCCTGTAGTTTGCTGAGTGCTATGTATTTGTTACTGCATAACTTTTAGTTTCTGAAGTCACACAACACACAACCTCAGTACATATCTTACTGCCTAAATTAACAGACTGTATGACTTTGGTTTTGGTTTCCTCATTCAGGAAGGAGGAATAATACTAATAGCCATGCCATGGGGTAGATCTGAGGATTAAATAAATTATTTTTTCTAGATGAAGTGTGGAGTTCATGCCAGTTACATAGTAAGCACTCAAACACAAATTTTAAATTTAAATTTAAATTTAAATGCTCACAACAGTCTGAAACAGTAGGTGTTCCCATTTTACAATAGTGACAATAAGCTCAGAGAAATTACATAATTTTCCTGGGTCATAGAGCAAGTAAGAGGCAGTACTGGTAATTATACTTATACTGGTTGGTATGACTCTAAAATTCAAGTTCTTTTCTCTGTATCACAGGGCTCCATGAAAAAATATATGTGATATATATCTATATATATGTATGGCTATCCAAGTCATGTCTGATCTGACCTTCATTTCTGTTTTGCTCAAAATATGTGGAAATCAGATTTGATCAAAATCCTTTTCAGAATATAAGTTGAATAGAACAAAGAATTGTGCTCTAAATTTTGAAGAACTATTCCATAAGATGTGGGAAATCTGTAATATTTATTGTGGAATGTAGTCTTTTGCTATTACTTGTATAAGAACACATTTAAAAGTCTACCCAATTTCTAAATTACACCTATACCAGAGCTTTCTTCTTTTGGTTTACTTCTAAATATGTTGGCAAACACGAGAAAAACAAAGCTTTTTCTTTTTTTTTAATCTGAGGTGCTTCTCTTCAGCAGCAAAGACACAGCTGAAGCTGGGTAAAGAAAGTGCGTATCAACAATGCAGCATACTTTGCTCTCCCCAGTGCTACAGATAACTGGAATAGTTTAGGCACGACATCTAATCTCTTACATAAGTCTTATGCAAGAGATGTGAGCCAGTTTTTTCCTGAAACAGCGCCAAAGCTAATTCAGATATTTAAGGGCTTTTGCTTCCTAATATTCCTGGTAAGCGTGGCATACTTACTTTACTTAGTTTGCTAGGTTATTTTTAAATTAGTTGGGTAAACATTGCACACTACCCACACACACACACAGAGTCATGAACATCCTTGCCAACACAGTGAAAGCCCCACTATGTTTGTTCAAATGCTCAGTCTGGGGCTGGGGGAGAAAGGGAGAGCAAGTTTTGGTATAATTAATGCTATTTCTTTAATCGTTCTAGAAATGTATATATATTCACTGTATATATTTTTGAGACAAACTATTATTCACTAGGCCTTTTGCAAGACAGAACTCTAAGGTAGAAAGCTATTAGTTCTGTTAACTGGCTCAGGAATTTTATTTTTCACATTTTAATGAAGAAATCAAGGCAGCTCAAAGATAAGCTACCTTGTTCAAGGACAAGGAGGAAATCTGAAACAGAGATTAGGTGTTAGGGATCCTGTTTGGATCAACAGAGTGAAGAGTAGCACAGAAGAAACTTGAAAAAAAAAAATCAAAAGATAGAATTCCAGGAAACTCCTAATGCTTTCTTCTTTCGGGGCAGTCTGTTGGAGCAGTCTTACTAGTCTTTTGCCTTAGTGGTTTACCTCTCCTTAGAGCAGAATCATAAGTGATCTTCCTAGTTTGTTTGTCACTCCTCTTAGAGCAATAATGAATGAACTCAACATTGATTCATAGGAGTTATTGTTTTAGTGGCAGGGACAAAGCTAGAAATAACCTCTACTTGAAGGAATAACCTGTCTTTATGGATTTGCTAGAATGACATGGCTTATTTAGCACAGTAGTTGTCAAATCTGTGATTAGAAGCAACTAGAAGCTTTCATAAAATATCATGCCTCATCTCCCTGGCCTCAAGAGAGTCACTTGGCCCAGGCAGAACCAGGGTGCAGCTGTGGCTGAGAACCAGTGGTTCAGTGAGCACAGACCACTGCCCAGGGCCTGTGGCCATGCTGTTTCTTTATTTCGGCAGTTGCCCCAGAGTGTATTCATACGTAAGATAAGTATAAGTCCTTTAAAGATAAATTTTTTCATCCAAATAGTGATATTTTGTGTGTACTTAAATACATATATCTATATAATATATATTACACAAAACTGGTGCAGCAAACTTGTGAATTAATAGCTATTTTTGTTCAGTACTGAAAGGGAAGCAAAATTTTATTTCTACCCTCAGGGTTTTTGGCTGGGCCTGAGAATTAAATTGATGTAAAACAGATTAAAAGAAGAGAGAAGCATGTACATTCATTTAATATAAAATTTTCAGGACCCAGGGCCACTTTATAAGGACCTCAAAGAAGCAGAGTTGAACATATATATACCGACTTGGACAGAGAATAGTAAATTATGAATATGTGACAAGATGGAAGGGTTTGGGCCAGGGCAGTTAATGGTGGAAAAGTAACTAGGAAGATAAAGATTAGTTTAACAAGATGTGTTTGTACAGATTTTTCTCAGTTTTACCTCTGCATCTTTGCTGATCAGCATGTTTCTTTCTGGTATCTGGAGGATGTGTTTTACATGGAAATTTTATCCTCTGCTTTTTATTTTTTCAAAGAACATTAGGAGGATGGGATAGGAGGATCACAAGTTCAAGCCCAGCCTGTGTAACTTATCAACTTTGCAAGACCCTGTATCAAAACAAAACAAAACAAAACAAAAAAAAACGGAGCTGGACACATAGCTCAGTGCAACGGGTTCAAACCTAGTGCCCCCCCCCTCCGGCCCCCCGCCATGGAGAGGTCAAAGTCTCTTTCTTGTACCTGGGGTTTATTTAAGCACCGTTAGCTTAAAATAATCCTATGCCACAGTGATATATTTTGAGGTGACATTCTGCCACTCTTCTGTAAAATAGTTTGAAATGTCCTTTAAAGTATAGTAAGGGAATTAAAATTAAAAAGTGAGTCACATTAAAAAAGAATATTAAATAAAAGTACAGGTATGATGAACATATTACAAAAATCATAAAGTTGGTATGAGAATGACTACAAATTTGGAAACATGATCTAAACTATGTGCGAAAATCACCATGCAGGTATGAGAAGGTTGTGTGTGGTCTAAAGCACTCTTAGTGGTGGCTCGCAGGCATACAATACCTTCAAGGTGAGAAAAAAGTGAAGCTGACTCTCTTCAGTTCCCTAAATGACCGTGTAATTCATGGCCACTTCCATGGGTGACCCATTTACTAAAAGCTAACTCACTGAATAATCAACTAACTAATTGAAAAAAAAAAAGATTAGTTAGAGATAAATACCTTAGACAAGATCTTTTGGTGTTTTGCTGTGAGACACAGAGCAAATGCATAGAGAAGAACTCGACTAAGACACAAGCCCTCACACGTGGGGATGAAAGTATGCTCATCTTTTCCCATTGCACATGAAAGATGTGCTCTGGTATCTGAAGTCTGAAACACACTTGAGATTTCCATGCAACTGAGCTGCACTTAGAGATTCATGGTGAGTGGCTGGGGATTTAGCTCAGTGGTTTTGACCCTTGCTGTGCAAGTGAAAGGATCCCAGTTCGATCCTTGGTACCAAAAAAAAAAAGAAAGAAAGAAATTCATGGTGAGATGTCTGCTGTGACCCCGAGGAGAAACTCAAATAAAAAATAACCCTCAAAACCCCATAATGTAACAGTGGATTACTGTAGATTGGTTTTTGCTGAACAGCTTTTTGTGAGTTTGTTGCTTGACAGATTGGCTTTCTATAAAACAGACTTGCTTTAGAATAGTAGCTACCTCCCTCCTGGGAAAGTTGGGTTTTTTGGGGGGGGTACCGGGGATCAAACTCAGGACCTTGTGCTTGTGAGGCAGGTGGCAGAACCTCTGAACTAAGTCCCAGCCCCTTCTGGGAAAGTTTTCATGTGTAGTCGTCTTTATCTATAAGTCTCCTCTCTGGGTTGGTAGCTTGTGGAAGAATTGTATAGGCTCTCT